AACAGCTATATAGCATTAATCAGCATTTTTTTTTATTAATATTTACAATTTTTTGAAGCTGTTTCAATCTGAAAAACTCACACAGAGAGAAAATACAATTAGGAGAAATGTATTGACACAATTACTTTGTCTTTGGCGCTCAGACCTTGGCAGGAAACATAGCGCTGCATTTTGATAGATATGCATGAACAGGTGTAAAGAATAGGGCTGTTTCCCCCCAGGCCTGAAACTGGTGGTGGAGAGGAGATAGATGAAGTTGGTCAGTCTGTAGACTGCTGGTTAGCGAGACGGTATGCTGAGCTTTATGGGGAGATCCAGTGGACTGCATGAGCTGATAATAGAGCTTCACTCAGGGACCTGGAAGATGGAAGTCCAGTTAGATAACACAGGTTTAGAGAACCTGTCCATGATGAGCAAGCATGAAGAAACAGTGGAGAGGAAAAACTCGCCGATGGGAAGGAAACCTCTGGCAGAACCAGGCTCAACATGGTGGTCTTTTGCCGGACCGGTTGAAATGCAGTAAGAGTTCGGGAGGAATGAAACTCTGATAAAGTTTTAGCTACAACGGTGGAGGAGGGGCTGGAAGTGGGTTGAAACGGGGTAATCTGAGTGAAGTCACAGCACATGCACCACCTGCGCACAGGACCAGACAAGTGCAGATCAGAGGACTTTTAAGATAAACCTTAGATGCTGGTTGGATTTCAAGGAGGTGTGGTTTGAAGCTTACTGGTTGTGTCATAGGCGGATGAACTTCTGTCTAGGCTACAGGTCAACTGGTTTCATTGAGGTTCAGGTAGGGGTAGAGGTAGTTCAGGTAGCAGAGTATAAAATGTTTCATTAAAGCATAATAATTAAGGGAAACCAAATGATCAGATCATCAAAGCCAGCATTGTTGACTTTTTTGTATCTTACTGCTGTGAAGTTCAATTCAGAAGATGCTATTAAATGTCCGCTATGCCAGTTTGGTTCAGTTTAATTAATATTATTGAGCTGAATTTACAAAATAGTATTTTATCAATAGAATTTAATAAAGTAATGTTGCAATTAAGCTCGTTAAGTGGAACTAGTTGATTTAACTAGGTAAAGTAGTTGTCATGATTACATTTTTGTGTGTTTCTTTATATTAATTAAACAAATATAGAAACAAATTCAAGCAAACTTAACAACAAAGTTCAATTAAAGAACAACACAGAACCCAGGATCTATAATGACTAAAGCTAATTTCAGCAGCAGTGGAAGAAGAATCTGGATATAAGAGACTTCCATCTTAATGACATGCCGCTAAGCCTAAAAAAAAAAGTAATTCAGTCCTATTAACATCTAATAACAATATTTAATTTGGATAAATACCTTTATGTTGAAAGTGTCAGGATTACATTAAACTAGTTTGGTTATCTTTGGCTGAACCAAAGTTGCAGAACATCCTTCAGCTTTGTTTTTGGATTTTTTTTTTACAGTATGTCCCGAGACTGGGTGTTCACAAGATAGCCACCAAGTAGGGGGTCATGAAATGGTTTACACAATCATTGTGATGTGATCCCTGAGGTATATGTAGGACCAATGAAATAAAAAAAGGACCATAAAATCAGCAGATGTAACAGTTAATTATTTAGTCATTTTTCTACTCTAATTCACATTGTAATTAATTTAAGTAATGATATGTCCCCGCCCTGCGATGGACTGGTGACCTGTCTAGGGTGTAGACAGCTGGAGATGGGCACCCGCAATCCTCCGACCCCGCTTGGCCTGACAGAAAATGGATGGATGGATGGATGGATGGATGGATGGATGGATGGATGGATGGATGGATGGATGGATGGATGGATGGATGGATGGAATCAAATCGCCCTTGGATAAATTTAAATACTTTTCAAATATAATAAAATATCAAAAAGTCATTCAAAAATAAACTTTATTTTAAGTTCAATATAATTGTTTTAATTGGTATATATTTTTAGGGGATTCTGAGTCTAAAATAATATTTTTAAGGCTTTTAAACTAAATAGTTGAAAAAGCTAATCATCTGAAAAATAATGCGTGATGTAAAAATTAGATTTATTCATTCCTTATTTGGTTTGTCAACTATCCCCATATATGAGAACAGTTGCAAAACATTACAAACCCTGTTCAACTACCATTTGCTTTAGGTGAAGCCATTAAATATTGCAATTTTATGGGTGTGTAGAGGACAGATGTGATTTTAAAATGTTGAAATCTTGTCATTCTTGTAAAATTAGCTTGTGCAACCCTTAATATGAAAACCATATGGTACACATGGGATTCAAAACACACATATACGTGTGGATCTGGAACTGATTTCAAAAGCACATTTGATTCTCATGTTTTTATTTTAATTCACATTGCTTTTAACATGAAACGTTCTTAATCCAAATGTAGACATGTATACATTTAGCATGTGAATCATATATTTACCACATGTTTATTTATAATTTGACTTAGACAACTTTCATTGTCATTTTGTACGTGGATCATGGGTTTCACATGTGATTTTTACATGTGAAATTCATGGGATTTTTCTCTAAATGCTTGACATTTTTATGTTTAATTTCTAAACTCTTATACAATTTTTGAAATATTTTTTTAATGTATATTCAAAGTGCATCATAGGATGTTTACATAAAAACATAGAAATAAATAAAAATACACAGTAACACATACACAGAAATAATTTGACTACCGGTAGCAAGATGCTAAGCATTAGCTATGATTAGCTAACTTTTCTGATTTCATAAAACATACTGTATGTTATGGGGCAATTTCCTCATGATGATAATGATTTCTCTTCCTGAAATCCTTTGAAATTACTTCTTACAGATTAGATGGCCAGTATTTTATTTGTAAAGTTGGAATAACAACAAACTGATAGTTGCCAAAAATTAGGGGAGACAGTGGGCTCTAACATGGCTTCAACAAAAAATGGTTTATTTTTCATGTACCCTCCCTGTTTCAACCAAGAACATCTAAATTCTGAAGAAGAAAAAAAGGCTTCTTTATTTGCAGTAGATAGAGTCTAAAAATAGGTTAAATATGGGGATGTTAACATGGCACTGTTTGCCCAACAATGGGCTTTATAGATTTATTTCCACCTGCTAATCCTCCTCTTTACTGTGAGCTGCATAAAAATGAGCATCTGTCCCTTTCTGACAAATTCATTTACATTTATTTGAAAATACGGTAATTTGGCAAATGCAACACAGAGCAAAATCTAATCATATTCCCATTAAGAAAACATATTTGTGCTGCACATGTGAGAAATGTCTCATCCCTTTTTGCCACCTTAATTTCAAGTCAAAAATGCTTTATTAATCCCAAAGGTAAATAAGACGCTCAGGTAACTCAGAGGTTATTTTTTATCCAGGTGTTGTAGGTGTTCATGCTGTCTGTAGGAAAGGATGTTCTGTAGCGGTCTGTCTTGCACTGATTCTGAAGAGGCCTCTGACTGAAGACACTGTTTTTGTCTGAAGTCTGATGATGGAGAAGATGCTCACTGTTGTCCATAATTTTCTTCACTTCATGAAGAATTTTTCTTTGTGAAATCCTTTCCAGAGGTTCTACAGGAGCTCCTAAAACTCCTTATCTCCTATCAGCATTAGTTCTGATGCTGTTACCTCAGCAGATGATGGAGGAATAGATCATACTCTCTACTACAGACTGATAGAAGATATGTAGCATCTTGCTGCAGACACTGGAGGCTTCCTTAGGAAGTACAATCTATCCCTTGTGATCAAAAGTTGAATGGAACATGGAATACATGAACAACATGCTTGATCATAGGTGTAAAATTTTACATGTGGGAGATGGAATCACATGTGAAACTCAGTATTTTTTGTAAAGGAACTTTTCCCACTGTCCCCATATTTATGAATCTACAATGTCATAAAACTAAAAAGTAAAGAATTTTACAAATAATTCTTATAGTTCTTTTTTTAAGCTTGACTATTGGATCAATATTGGTTTTATAAGAATTTCCCTATATTTCAACACAATATGACTAATACGATCATACAAATGCACTGCTTAGTAAATGCAAATATTTCCTATTTAACTAACCTTTCACCTCGCAGAGCAAAGGAATTGATTTAGATACTTAGGTATTTAGGTATCTAGCTGTTTTCTAGTTAATTTTTCTTACTTATTTCTTAGCGTTTTTAGTTGGTTTTGTCTTTATTTACTCTGGTCATTACTTCTGTATTATGAGATTTGTTCTGTTAATTTATTTCTTGCAGATTTTATCTCGTTCTCGGTTTCTCTTTAGGTTTCCCATCAGTTTTCCTGTTAATCTACCTTCATATGCCCATTATATGTTCAAACTCACCTTATCTGTCTTCACCTTGGTTTCAGAAACACCAGAACAGTGACATTAGCTTTATTTTGACCTCAACTACCAGGAAAAAAACAGAAACGATCGTTTGGTTGGTTCATTCTTTGTGATTTTATAATATTGTTAGAAGGCTTCTTTATATTCCTCTAAAATGAGCCACAGTGGTGCAGAAAAAACATCTGTGAGTCGAACAGCGAAGGTGAATTGGTGGGTTTTGTATTTGTGTAGAGGAATGAGAGCCGCAGCAGATACTTGGAATCCATTACTAGATAACAAACAGGCATTTACTTTGAAGAAGTTTAATTATTATCCATGGAGCAGGAAAGGAATACTGGCATTCCTGTTCTCCAGCTTTAGCTGTTATCCCAGGAATGAGTGGGACAACGCTTGGTGTTCAGACGGCGTGGGCTCGCCCTTATCATCTGACTGCACCTGTTTCATGTTACTTTCAAGCCAGGCTCTCATTGTCAGCATTTGCAGTGTTTGTTTTTCTCCTCTCCCCCCCAGCTCGCTCCCTCTGCCTGCGGTCGGATGAGTCTCTGAGAGGAAGGGAGGGACTACTGTTTAGGAAGGCGTGGATTTGGAGCAAAGGGAGGGGTTAATAGGTCAATATTTGTTTAGGAAATATGGCTGTATGTACAAGGCAACTGTCACATCTGTAAGCACAGTCTGCTTGCTGGTGGTTCTCCTTTGACTCTTATCAACGCCTTTGTGGATCTGTCAGGACTTACCGGTAACTTTGATGTATGGAGGAACAAATGTACCAATATTATAAATTACAGGCTCATGTAGGTAAATTCCTTCCATTGTATAATAAAGTCATATTAGGTTTGGAGCAAGTGAGCGTCACTGAATAACGATAGCATCCTCCTTTTTTTGTTGTCTGTTCTTTTAACCAATTAACTTTTCATTCCTCTTCAGCCTGGTTTTGGAGCAGAGATGTTGGACACTCTGTACGAGTGGTTCTGGTGGGACAAACTCTGGCTGCCTGCCGAGCTGTCGTGGGCTGACCTGGAGGACAAGGAGGGTCGGGTCTACGCCAAAGCGTCACATCTTTACGTGACAGTCCCTTACGCCTTCGGCTTTTTACTCATCAGATATCTGTTTGAAAGGTAAGAACCGTCAGAGAGCTGACACGCCGGCCTGATTGCCACGTGTTGCACACAGCTAAAGAAAAAAAAAGTTTGCTTCAGAAAGACTGACAGAAATCCTCTCAGTAATCCCAAAAAGAAAACTTCTGATTAAAAAAGTTTTAAAAAATTTCAGTTTTTCAGACTGAGTTTTATAAATTTTCTTTTCAAACAGCATTTTCCAGGTGATTTTATTCACCACTGGGGGCTTTCCTCCGCAGTGAGGAGGGAAGATGCATTTCTACTGGTCTATTGGATGTTCACGGTTAGGAGCAAGAGTTTATATTGGCCTTAAAGTAAACAGAATGTGATCTGGAAAACATAATTTCCTGAAAATGCATTTCATAAAACTCAGTCTGAAAAAGGAAAATTAGCAAAAATACAATTTGAAAATATATAGAAAATGGGGGGAAAAAAAGCTTGAAAAAATGAAATTGGAAGTAATATAAAAATGCTACTTTGAAAATCTTTATTTGATAAAACATTTTTTACATTTTTTTTTTCAAATTTCCATTTACTAAATGTATTCGTTTCTGCAACAAAACAGAATGAAATTCACTCTATAAGTGGGCGGCTCTTCTCATAACCCACCTATGTAACTTCACAGGGTCCAGTCAATCAATGAATGGGCTCTGTTACTTTAGATAAATATTGTGTAGCATTTTGCATTCAACAAATATACTTTGTAGTCACAATGTACTCTGACTTTATACTGAAATAGCTAATGGGTCAGCAGCTGCTACTCACAAATAAAGGGAGTAGCTTGTTTGATTTTGGGTAATACCTAAAGTCAGGACCCAAAATACTACAGACTTTGCTTTAGCTTAAGGTGCTCTATGACTGGTTTCTGATCTATACGTTCTGGGTGGATCAATGTGTGTTTGGGCCTGTTGTTGTCTTTGTTTGTGTTGATTGTCAGAGTGATTATATGTAGTGTTGCATTATGTTTTGTCTAGGTGGTCATGTGGAGCTTGGAACCTTATAAGTATAACTCCTTTTCCATCTCATCATTTAAATGTATATATTTTCCTTTGATCTCAGCCTTAAAGTCGTAGGGAAGTCATATTTAAATGTCAAATCATTCTGGCTTTAACATGTACATAAATGTACTCTTTATCAGACAATATTGTCCCAAAGTTTAGAAAATTCTATAAAAAAAAAAAATTCCTGTCTTAAAATCTGTGGGTTTTATTGTCGTTATCCTATGCAGGCCAGTTAGTTCTACGTCAGCCTGAACACATAAATTTGGCCAATCATATATCAACAGTAATCTGTCGATCAATTTTTTTCGTTCATAGCATCTTGATTCATATGTCGCAGCTAATATACACAACAGTTGAAATCAGAATAATTTCCTTTCCCATTGATTTGCCTCCCAGTGTTCACGGGGATAGACGTCTGTGTCTTCAGCAGGCGTAGAGCTAACAGAACTGGCAGCGTTGCGAGGCAAGGGCTCAAACATGTACGGCTGTAAGCCTTCTACACCAAACCAAGCTTCTGCCGCCCTGGCGTCCTCTTCCACAACATCTTCGTCCCCGCTTTCCTCCTGTAAATAAAAAATGTATGACGGAGGAGACTCATCCATGACCTCCGACACTAAACTCTCCTCCTCTTGCATGTTTCCTCTGTCCATAGCGTTTGTTGACAGTGTCGTTTCTAAGTCACCAATTTAGTGCTACTTGGTCCCAATGGAATTTCCCATTAGGAACCTACTATCACTCATTTGCTAACTGGTTAGCCAGATGTTTTCAACAAACCGACATCAATCAAACTTGCTTGTCAACCTTCCGCCACAACAATCCCGCCCCCTTGATAAACGACCAATCAAATTCACTTAATTCACTCAGGAGAATTCGGAAATGCAACGGTTGGAACAGCCGCTTCCCTACAACTTTGACTGTAGATTATTATATATAAGCCAAAACTTGCATCAACTGAACCAGAAAGCAGGCTGATCTGGAATTGTTTTTTTTTTTTTTTCTGAAAACAATTCCACATCTATCCAGGATTCTCTTTCAGATCTGCAGACTCACACAACCTAAAACTTTTCAACAATTGAAAAAGGAAAACCCAACTGTAAAGAAATTACACATTAAAATAAAACAAGCTAACCTGCTTTTAAGTTGATTTATTTTCAGTTAATTTGTTTTACTGTGTAAAAGAATTAAATATATTATCCATCTGCTTCAACTGTGAGGGTCCACCACTGTCTGTGGCAGTCTACGGGCGTAAGGCGGGGTCCACCCTCGAATGGTCACTGATCTATCGCAGGGCAACAGAGAGACATAAAACCATGCACAACACTTACACCTAAGGAAAATTAAGTGCTGCCTAAACTTACTGTAACAGTGATGCTTTTTGGAGTATGGGAGGGAGATGAAGTACCCGGAGAAATACTTAAATAAAGGTTAATTAAAAAAATAAAAGAAACACAAGATAATTAGAGCACATTATCTCAGAGTATATTACATATAGACTCTGATACTCTGAGCCAGGAACACTTTCTAATGGATAAAATTCTATTTCATTGTTTTGTTTTCAAATCCCTCCATTTGTGTTACTGAATGTGTGTTTGATGAAACTCAGGTGGATAGCGACGCCTCTCGCAGTCTGGGCTGGAATCAGACATCGGGTCCAACTAAGAGCAGAACACATCCCCATTCTGGAGCTCTATTACACGACCCAGAGCAGAAACCCACTTCAGGTAAAAAACATCAATTAAAAACTGGACGAGTTTATCCAGCAGAATCTGCCATAACTGGTTTTTCTGAATACATTTTGATAGATATAAATACTAAGAAATACATTCAACGCTATATTGATACCATGGAGATAAAAAAAAAACTCCAAAAAAATCCAGACTACACGTCAGACAGTCGTAAACCCACGCAGACCTCAAGCGGAAGTGTGCAGACAAAAACCAGCTGTGATTGGTCCTCGGTAGGCCTTTCCAGCTGTGCATCCCTAGAAATTCCAGACCGACATAACAGCAAAACTGGTTCACAACCAGATCAAAGCAACATTTAATGTGTGCAGTTGTAGAAGTCAAATCTGGCCTTAATGCCTGCTTTGGGAAGTGGTTGCCTAGTGGTTAGGGCATTGTGCTTGTGCTCTGAGTTTGAGCCCCACTCCCACAGACTGCCACTCTAGGACCCGTTGAGAATCGTCTGTGGTTTATGAGATTCTGCTTTGATAGTTTTCTCATTGCTGTTTATATGCAGATGCAGCCCTTTATTCTGAAGAACACGTCATTGTTTTGCCTACAGACAAGCTGCCACGTCGGGGGCTGTCCAATCCTTCAACTAGAAGGAGGCCAGACTGGCAGCTGGTTTTCTAATTGTTGCGTTGGTCAAAACAAAGAAACATTTACAGTATAACAGGTCCTCCAGGTTGTTTTCTTAAGGAGTGAATTTTAGTCTATTATTGTCGCAAGCAAAGAATATGTTTCGTAAATGGAAAATTGGAAAGCAATGCAATCCAGATATTAAAGATTTTAATGGTAACCTTCCTTCTTTCTCAGATTTTATTTTTTCAAAGTACATTTTTGCTTTTATTTTTTTTATATTTTGTTTACTAGTGTTTTAGGTTTTTTCAAGATTTCCCTTCTTCAGATTGAATTTAATAAATTGTGTTCTTTTCAAATTGTGTTTCACACATCATAATCCTTTCACTTAGAGGCCCAATCCTTGGTCATCTTGACCAATAAGAATGTTGTAGCGAACGTCCAGCAAACCAATAGAAATGCATCCACACTCCTCACTCCCCAGCCCTTAAATAGCGAGTCTGCAACTTCTTTTAAATATATTTATCTGACTGTATACTTTCTTTATGAAATGTTTGATTTTATGCCACACTGCTACAGCCCCGCGCATCCCTGTGTGGCCATAGCAACAACTGCTTTTCTTTTCTTTGGATGGAAGAGGCCGTCCCATTCTCGTTTATACCCCCCACCTTTAATCAAGGCACCTTCCACAGCTGTGAGTGAGGCAGTCACTCTGCTGCACCTCTCCGAAATTGTAGGTTACTGCAGAGAGTGCCGCAGACAGGAGGCCCCTGATTGGTCAAATCTACATCCTCTCTACACTATCCATATTTCCTGTTTGGTACTTTACCGGCTTGTTTTGTTTGTCTAACCGCCATTGTGGAAACAACTCATGAAGATGGACCAGCTAGAAGAGCGAGGTGCGCGAAAACGCTGGGACCCTTTCTCCACCTGGATCTCCGCTCTTTTTTTATCTAGACCCACAGCTAGTTCCTGATGTCCCTCTTGCGTTGTGGCGGGGAATAACATAGAGCAGACCACGCTTCATTATTGGGCATAAATCAAAAATATCTGCGACCAGTTCACTGCGACACACTGCTGGGGGAGGATAACCAGCCCTTTAATTGATAGTGACACTTGATAGTGAAGGGTTAGCCCTTAAGGGGGGGTTTGGGATTCAGCCTGTGATCTCTTAAAGGCAACTTTAAGAGAATTGAATTCTTAAAACTCAAGCTGAAAATGAAAAAAAAATTTATCACATTAATTTTCAAAATACAACTTTTAAAACATAGTCCTAGAAAATCTAGACAATCTAATCCACAAGTTTAGTAGGTTTTGTAGCCATGTTCAACCTTTGTCAATATAAATTTGTAAAAAGGATCAATTTTATCACTAAAATCTATTAAAACAAGTCTAGACAAAGGTTATCTACAGTTTGTGTTAATTTCCAAACCCAGAATCTTAACACAAAATGAGTTGTAAAATGTCACCTTGAATCTAATTTCTTGAACTTGCATCTTTTTGTTTACTTTTAGGCTGACATTATTGGGTTGTCGAAGAAAAGCAGTTTGCCGGTCAGACAGATTGAACGCTGGTTCCGAAGAAGACGGAGGCAGGACCATCCTGGAGTCCTAAAGAAATTCAGAGAGGCCAGGTCACTACTCAGCAATTCTTTCATGGTTTTTGTGTGTTTACTGTTTGCAAAATGACCTCACTTTGGTCATTTTCCTGAAGGAAATTTTGCCCTCATTGTTAGGTTAGGACTAAGGCTAGTTTAGGTTTAGCTAGTAATGGTTAGTAGCAGGGCTATAAAATCAATGGAAGTGAGAGGACAGCTCACTACATATAGCAAAACAGTTAAGTATATGTGTGTAGATGTGCTGACTGGTTTCCCATTATTATCCTCAGTACTATGCTACATTGTGAGGGTTTACAGGTCTTTTTGGTGAACTAAAAAAGGATATTGTTTAAAATTTATAGATACTACTCCTAACAATAAAAAAAATAGCATTAATGAGTTTATCAAACTCAAAAAACATTTTTTTGGACAGTAGGCTGACAGGAAAGGGGGTATGAGAGGGGGAGACACATGCGGCAAAGGACCACAGGCCAGATTCAAACCTGGGTTGCCCACATTGAGGACTAAGGCCTCTGTACATACTGTAGGGTCATGTGCACCAACCACTGCACCACCAAAGCACACCCAAGGGTTTCTATTTGGGACGAAAGTGCACAAAATTAAATAGAAATACAAAATAAATGCATTTATAAGTAAATAAAACAATAACTACACAACATAAGTACATTTATATATAAACAAAAGGCTTAAAGCACTATATCTGAAATAAACAGCATGTAAGAGTATGTATTAATATTTAACCTGACCATAAAATGCAGATGTACATTTTATTATATAATTGAATTCAGAGTAAATATAGCAGAGGAACCCAGAGTGGCTAAGATCAGAGGGGTGACTCCCTTAATGGGAGGTGCAAAAATCTGGGCCACATTTATACAGCAATTCATGCACATGAAGCCTCAATCGAGTAATAAGTTGAAACACTGTATGACACATGATTCTACTTTCCAGAAGTTTATCATGTCTACATCTGAAAATGATATTTTTTATTTTATGCGATATAATAATCCATCCTTTCACCCATTTTCCATCACGCTTATCCCTGCTGGGGTCGCGAGTGTTGTTGGTTCCTATCTCCAGCTGCAAATGGGCGAGAGGCAGGTTACACCCTGGATAGGTCGCCCAATCTATCACAGGGCACGATAAAATAATCATAAAAATAAAATAAACAAATGCTTGAAATATTTCACTTATTGATTACAATAAAATATATTTACTTTAAGAGCTGAATTACTGAAATAAATCAATGAGATGCAACTGCAGAAGTCATTTCTGCCCAATTTTTTAAATTAGCACTTCATTCTGACTAGGGTAATACTGTCTCTTAGGTGTCCTCCTTCTGTGTGCTCCTCTCTATGCACTTCTGGAAGGCTTTTAATGTCCTGTAGCGCTGCACCGCTACTGCACTTTTAATTGTATCTGTATGTTTTGTATGTGTTATGTGTTATTTTATGGCTTTGTTGTAAAGCACTTAGGGTACCATTTGGCAATTGTAAAGGGCTATACAAATATAATTGATTGATTGATTGATTGATTGATTGATTGATTGATTGATTGATTGATTGATTGATTGATTGATTGATTGATTGATTGATTGATTGANTTGATTGATTTCAGCAATGAGTGAACTAACTTAAACCCAAATGGATCAAACTGGTATTATTTGGCCTATGAACAATAGAAAAATGATAGAGTTAAATTAACCCAGAACGATGAGACTCACCTTTATGTTATCTTTCTTAATATGAGCGCTTTTGTCCATCTCTTTCTGATAATATCTTAAAAATATATAAATTAATTAAATTAATTATTTGCATGTGGTTTTTCATGTCTTCTATCTACAGTTGGAGGTTTGTCTTTTACCTGTCTGCATTTATAGGAGGGATCATTGCACTTTATGATGTAAGTACAAAGCACATTAAAACACAACCTTGCCTTAGAAGATGGAGACACTCAGCTTTTACTGCATAAACTAATTATTTTCATCAAATTGTATGATTTTCTTTGGTTAATATTTTGCAGAAAGAGTGGCTGTATGACACTAGAGAAGTATGGACTGGTTATCCAAAACAGGTTTGTTTCATTTTTTTTTTTTATTATTATCAAAAAGGTAGCATCTCCTGTTATTCAGCAGATAGGGAACCAAGATTTGACATCAAATATAGTTCAGTCATCATCAAGGAAACGTATGCAGAAGTGCATGGATTACACCTGAAAAATGATCTATAAATAAGTAAAAAAAAAATGTCTTAAATTAAGTATATTTACCCTTAATTTCAGCAGGTAAATGAGATAATTTGCCAATGGAATGAGTATTTTTACTCTTAAAATAAGATAATTAGATAACATGCACTTGAAAAAAGACAATTTAATTGTGTTTTCTTAGTTTAAATCTAAATTGTCTTGTTCCATTGGCAATATTTCTCTTTTTCCTTCTCAATCTAAGAACAAATGCACTTATTTTAAGGAAAAAATGACTTATCTAGATTTAGATTTTTCCAGTGTACACAAAAATTGCAAGCTCTTACTGTAGTACGAATTGCACTAATTCATCGTATTTGTACACTGAATAGCTTCACATTGTGCTGCTGTGGACTTAATTAATATTTGAATTGAACTTATATAATGAAACAATTCATTCATTTAATATAATATAATCGTAATTTCTGACTTCTTTATTATCTTAATCTTACTCTCCAGCCGAAGCTCGTACCTGTGGGAGTTAATAATGAGAGTAAATTACTCAGGGAGCTCAAGAATTAATACAATGTTAACTACCTAAATGATGTATGCAGTAAATATACGGTCTGCAAAGAGGACTGCTGGGCTGCTGACTACACTGGACCGGGCATTCGAACCGAGCCATGAGCTCTGGGACTGGTCCGGGGAAACCAGTGGCTGGGGACGGAGTGATCAATCCCCAGCTCTGACCAGCCCCGGAGCTCATGGCTCGATTCTGCTGCACTGTACTCGACCAAAATCCGCGATCTTGAAATTCCCCCTGGACATTTTTTTAGGTATGAAAAGTAGGACATGTCCGGGAAAAAGAGGAGATCTGGCCATCCTACCATATCAACAATTTGATGTTTCAGTGAATGAGTGCTTGTTGCTATAATGCATCTTTGATCAGCAGCTTAACTCATTGTAAAGCAACCAATTAGCGCACAGCTCATCTTAATATTCATGAAAATACCATAAAAGGAAGAAAACCTGTTGTTTCATTCTGGGGCTTTTAACCAGGCTTACACAGCAAATATGCCATTTTCAGCCCAAACAATGTTACACACCCTATTCAGAGACCTTAAGGACCCAATACCCTAAATAATCATTCTATGACCCCTTTATTCAGGGCAGTCTCTGGATGGTGGTTGGCACGGAAACCTGACTGGAAGACATTAAAGCAGCTGGTCATTGTTAAGAAGGTGTTTAACTGTAGAAACACAACTCTTTCAATAATTTTACCAATGTAAGGGGGATTTTAGATGGGCCTCTAAACTAAATAATTTAAGAATATACAATGTGTAATAAAATAGAATAAAATAACATTTGAAGAGATAAAAAAGATTAACAGAAGGATTTTTTTAAAAAGTAAAATGTAAGAAAGCAGTTACTTTAGGTTTTTTTTATTATGATTTTTTTTTTTTAAACTGCTTTTTTTCTCTTTTCAAATTTTGTATTCTCCGTTTGCAACAATAATGGAACAAAATTCACTCCATAGAGATCGGACTGAACTGTCTCTACGAACAGCTTTGAGGTGAAGTGTAAATTGTAGTTGTATTCAATTGAATAAAAGTGATGGCGGTCAGTGTGTCTCCCACCAATCCCCAAACGCACCCCAAGGTTGGATGAATAAAGATGTTGTTGAAATAAAGAATAAAGCCTTTAAAGCATAAACCTTTTGCCTGTGTAACCAAGTGTCTTCCTGCCACATTTTGCTCCTCTGTCCACAGTCCATGCTGGAGTCTCAGTACTGGTATTACATCCTGGAGATGAGCTTCTATGGCTGCCTTCTCTGCAGTGTTGCCTTCGATGTCAAGAGAAAGGTGGGTTGTGCTCCTTAGTCTGCATCAGTCTGCCAAAGAGCTGGTAGAGCTCGACTTCAAAGGACCAACAGGGTCAGCCTCATCAGGTTAGAACCAATCAGATACTACGATTGTGACACAAAAACTCCAAGAGACACAATCTGTTTTTCTAATTTTGTAGTCCATGAAACATGGAACAAGCCATGAAAGAAACTAAAAGATCAGAGGATAAAAGGTGATCTTAATTTTCATTGCAACATTACTCCATTGCAGTTACCAGCTTATTGTTATATCAGCAGAAAGCAGTGTTGCATTATGGGTAATGATGGTGTTACGAGTCATGCATCTAATAGCCCTGCCTCCTGCGCAGTCTACTTCAGTTTACCAGACTGAATTACGTTCCTGTCTGGCTGCCCAGGCTAGTGATCCTGAAAGTCCAAAACCTGAATCATTTCTAAATAAATTATACAGTAAGATTTGGTTATTCTACATTTTTAACACAAAAAATGCTTGATATATAAAAACATCAATAAAACATTATGATGTTACATATACAGTGACAAAAATTTGCAAGTTCTCTCACTCACTGACTTGTTCTGCTAATGACAAAATACCACAATTTTATATGACGGAGTATTAGGGCCAGGCTAGAGATTTATACTTTTTTTTTTTTTTTTTTTGAGAATAAAGTCATAATATTATACGAATAAAATCATAATGAGAATAGGGTTGTAATATTACGAGAATGAAGTCATCATACAAAAACCCGTTTCAGAAAGAAAGCTTTGAGCTCTGACCAGCAGATGATGGACGACCAGCTTCACCAATCAGCAACCAGAGTCCACTTTGACATCCTGCCTGATTTGACGCTGTTGCACTAAAAGATTTTCTTATTTGTCAAACCAGAGCCAAAGTATAACTTCACATGATGCTCCACATTCCTCATTTTAGGGAAGACAGTGCTTCTTTAAAGAGTTGTCATAAAATGCAACTTGTTTTTCGTAATTTTTGGAGTTTATTCTCTTAATAATACAACTTTATTCACATAATTTTAAAACTTCTTGTTGTGACTTTTTTCTCATAATATTACGACTTTATTCTCTCAATGTTTCGACTTTATTCTCGTAATTTTATGACTTTATTGTAGTATTGTTATGACTTTAATCTCATAATGTTACGACTTTATTCTCGAAATAGAAGAAATAAAATCTCTAGCGCAGTCTAATCTCCAGAGCAGTGTTTTGCTCTTCTTTCAGTGAAGAAATGCTCTGTAATTCCGATAAAACTTGCTCGATAGCCACGCTAACGCTAGTTTCATCGGCTGAAGCCGCCATGTTCTTTAGACTGAACTGTTGTTTGGTGAACGGCTCCAAATTTTCTTCAACGGAGAGTCTCCAGACTGATTAGCGAGTGAAATCTTGAAAGCTCGCGAGATCAGGATGGTCTCACGAGGCTAACTGTATGTACCCAGCTCTGTTTGAACACAAAAAAAAATATTCAACTAAACATTCCTTTGAGTACTAACTGTTTTAATTTGAGGATTTTTGTTTCATCGTTTTTTTCAGGACTTTAAGGAGCAGATCATCCACCATTTGGCCACACTTGTCCTTCTGTCATTTTCCTGGTGTTCAAATTTCATCCGCATAGGAACGCTGGTCATGTTGATCCATGATGCTTCTGATGTTTTACTGGAGGTCAGTAAGAAATAAGGACTGCAGCTAAGTTTATTAATGATTACATATTCTTTTACCATCCAGTGAAATCCTGCACTCATGAAATCCTAAATGTTTGTGTTTCATATTTCCTAATCAGAAGGTTATGCTAAATGAGTTGCATTTACTCTTTTTTTAATAGAAACACTGACAGACAAATTGAAGAACTGCATCAAATTCTCTGTTTGTGTGAGCAAGCTTGACCTATAAGCTGTATCCGATAGGTTGATGATCTGAAAACAGGAATAAGAACTAAAATAAGAAACTCCAGACTGTTCCCTTCCCCAGTGCATCAGCTAAAGAAGCACAGAAGTCCTCTTTATAAACTGTGCATCTCAGGATTTCATGTAGGTCAAGGGGAATCAATAAAAAATCATTGGGTTCCGAATAAAGAAAATCATCAACCAGTAAAGGTTTGGAGACATTTTTAATTATAATCTGTTACTATAAACAGAATTTACCACTGAAATAAAATGAGATGTTTATGCATACATGTTATACATTGAATTTTGAAATAAAAAAGATAGAAAAGTAAAATAGAAAATTTTTCCATTTCAAATCTAAAGTATTTTTTGAAGTAGAGAACAATTGTCTATATACTGTCTATATACCAAACTGAACAATTGTTCAGTTTGGTATATAGACAATTTCTTGATTCACATCTTTTATAAAAACACCTGAACTTACTGTGTGTTATTTTTTTCTTTATTTTTTCTGTCTTAATGTTGGCAGTGGGCTTTATGCTGCCCTGCAAGGCTTTAAACCTGGGTTTGAATGGAGACTAAGCCATTCTAAAGCACATATCAAGGAGCTCATTTTGGACTCGTACTCGTCGTCTCCCGCTTTATCCGGAACCGGGTCGCGGGGGCAGCAGACTAAGCAGAGACTCCCAGACTTCCCTCTCCACAGACACCTTCTCCAGCTCTGCTGGGGGAAGCCCTAGGCGCTCCCAGGCCAGCCGAGAGACGTAGTCTCTCCAGCGTGTCCTGGGTCGTCCCCTGGGCCTCCTCCCAGTGGGACGTGCCTGGAACACCTCCCGAGGGAGGCGTCCAGGGGGCATCCGAAGAAGATGTCCGAGCCACCTCAACTGACTCCTCTCGATGTGGAGGAGAACCGGCTCTACACTGAGCCTCTCCCGAATGACCGAGCTCCTCACCCTATCTCTAAGGGAGAGCCCAGCCACCCTGCGGAGGAAGCTCATTTCAGCCGCTTGTATCCGGGATCTCGTTCTTTCGGTCATGATCCAAATTTCATGACCATAGGTGAGGGTAGGAACGTAGACCGACCGGTAAATTGAGAGCTTTGCCTTTTCGCTCAGCTCTCTCTTCACCACGACAGACCGGTGCAGCGTCCGCATTATTGCAGCAGCCGCACCGATCCGTCTATCGATCTCTCATTTTGAGCCTGAATCCATATTTATTTCTGATTCTGTTCATGGTGGAGAATCCTGCTTCACAGCAGCAGGTTGAGCCAAACATCCTCTAAATGTTCAGGGTCATCTTTGAGCACCATTTCACTTTTCTTTCACCAGTTCACCACAGTTCTTCCAACATCCACACTTTCTCTGCTCTCTTTTTCTCATCATCTTCTCCTTCTTTCCCATCGCCCGGCTTGCCACAGGTTTGCCTGCTGTGTCTAAAAGTAGCAGCAGCAGCAACCCAGACTGACAGCAGCTCATTGGCTAATTGGCACCCCGTGCAGCCTGGTGCCGGATGCTCTGGAGGGCTTTACCGTATTAACAGAAGAAGCGGCGCAAGTGAAGTTAAACACTGTTGTTGGACAACATGCTGTAATTTATAACAGTTTTAAATCAGGTTGGGTCCGGATTAGCCAGTAGGTGGGTCCGGATCCAGACCTCGATCCTTGACCTCTGATGAAGGGTATGGGTAATATAAAGACTAAATATTAAGATATATATTTGGATATAGCACTTAAAGGTATTGTGGAGGATTTTGGTGAATTTGTTAAAAGCCCTCTCCACTTTAAAAAAATGCATGAGCGAGAGCGTGCACGGGTCCATTTCTCCTCGTGCATGCCTTTCTCATAGCTTATACAAGCTTACTGCCCCAACGTCTGCCCTAACCCCTAAATTCCTGAATCACTATTTATAACCGGGACTATATAGGGAACTCAGTTAACTGACCGTTCAGACAGATGATCCCTGCTTTTTTCTCCCCGTTGGTCAGGTAACTCCTCCTCCTTCTTTGTTATTAGGCGCCGCTGTCGGGTAGCGATGGCCTATGGCGACAGCGGGGTGCTGTGACAGCAAATCCCATAATGCTTTGTGAGGCGAGCTCTTCGCGCAAAGCATTCTGGGATATAACTGCCTCTTCTGTGGCCTTTGTTTTCTTCTCATACACTTTGTAAACACTTTTTCTCTTACAACCCTCGGCCATTTTAAAAGAACAGCGGTGAGAAAGGTGAGCTTTAATGACTGTCTGAAACCATAGCTCACCACAGATATACACCTGAAAGTGCGCATGCGCAGAATAAGATAGCTAACGGGATAAACACGTAGGACGGCCTTACTGTACGTAAACATATCACCAGAATGATTGACAATTAGGAGGACCACTTATTAAGATGATCCACCTGGAAATAAAGGCTTGTCCTCTATACCTTTAAGATATATAATATTGATTTAGATCTAAATTTAAGATTTATATGTAAATATAACATTCTTTATATAATATAGGATGTAAAAATGTATTTATCATACAAATCTGAATATAATATTTCAATCTAAAATCTAGATTCCACTTGTTTTCCAAAGATCTCACATTGCCTTAAATAATCGTTAAAGACACAGCTTCAATTTTCTCCTTCTCCCACTTCTCATTGCTTCTTTGATCAGTAAGATTTTAATCAGCTGCCACAGATTATAAATAAACATCATGTTGCTATGACAACGCATTATAATAAATGGCTAAATGTAAAAAAAATATGGAACAAAAAATCCTTCCAGCTTCATAGCATCCAACAGCAATCAGACAAATATCGTCCAAAAAAGCAGCAATGCATGAATTACAACATGCTTTACTGTTTGATAGGATTAAATTGCTAAAATTAATTAGTTAGAATTATTAGAATTATTACTAAAATCTAAAAAGCAGTTATTATTATCAATATAGTATTTAGGTCTAACATCTACTTGTTAAGTTTTTCCCCTAAATGATAGATTTTTACACCTGGTGCCACATACCAGTATGTCATTTTGGCTTTTATCAGACAAATAAACAACAATTAGTTAATTGCTAATTTTATTCCAAACTGATACATATTTCCAAATCTTTTTTTTTTTTTTCAGTCTGCCAAATTATTCAACTATGCAAAATGGGAGAAAACCAGCCATGGTCTTTTCATTGTGTTTGCCATAGTGTTTTTCGTGACACGCCTGATCATCTTTCCGTTTTGGTAAGCCTTTTTTTCTTTTTGCTTTCATTAAATCTAAATAAATTATGGAATTTCTTGATTTTGTTCCTGCCTTTTCTACTTATTCTCAGCACAGAGACCACATGGTCAGATTTTAGGCAATCAGAATCAGTGAAAGTTGGTCTTTTGGTTGAAGAGAGGTGAAAACATGTTTCAAATACATAAATGGGTAGCATATTAAAGACATATTAGTCAAACAAAGAGAAAAAAATGCAAAAGGAAAGCAAAAGTGCAACTAGACTGCAAATACATGAAGATACAAAATATCAATTCAAAACAGAAGACCTCCAGACCAGAAGAGGGAGACGATCATTGACTAATATTGGTCCAGACCCTTACTGAAGACATAAAAAAGATAGTAAAGGAGATTATTCCCTTATCCTAACATTAACACTTTCCAAAGCTTTTGCTAAGCGCACATCTAAGCTGGACATTCCTGGACTATTTTACCCACCATTCATTGCTGTATGTGCCGTAAATAGCATGATGTTTATGATTGAGCCTCTTTGCAATGAATAATATGTTTGCAAGTGTCGATATACTCCATCTTTTACATCCAGGAATATAAGACAGCTGCCTCTTTGCAGTTTTAAAAATCCTTCTTTTAGGGGGGGAAACTCTTATGTAAGTTTTCTTTCTCTTGTTCTTCAGGTTGATCCACTGTACCTGGGTCTACCCTGTTTACTACTACCCAGCCTTTTTTGGGTACTACTTCTTCAATGCAATGCTGGTGGTTCTTCTCTTCCTCCACATATTTTGGGCCTACCTCATCTTACGCATGATCAGGAAGTTTCTCTTTGGCACAGTAAGTCTTTTCATCCATAAGTTCACCTATAAAGAAGTCATGTTCCCTACTGAAAGATGTATCTATTTTAGTCCTATTCATTGAAAAATAGCACATTAAATGAAATCCTATAAATCAATATGTTTAATTCTGATTAAGTCCTTGTTGCTACTTTGAGTTCATTCGACTTGTTTTCCAAATATCTTAAATTTTCCATGATAACTGATAAAACAGACAGTTTAATTTTTTCCTCCTCTGTTACTCCTGCTCCTCGTCCTCAGAACCTCCTTTTCAACTAATCTAGGTTCAGCTGTTCCAGACTGTGAAAATGCATCTTCTTGCAATGATCATGCATGATAAAAAATGTCCAAAAGTAAAAAGGTATCCATTAGGATCTGATACCTTTTGTAGCTGGAAAGCGTCCCACAACAGAAAAGGAAAATGTCCAAAAAAGCAACAAATTAATTTCTTGAATTGAATTTTACTACGTTTTAAAGTGTATTGCGTGTACAGTAAACCTAATCTCAGTGATAAATAACCATAGGCAGAATTGTTAAGAAAATCTATGGATCTCTTTAGTGCAGTAAGATGCAGACTTGGATGAATCCAAATCAAAAAACTGATTTTATTACTCAGTTATCTTATGGCTGAATTTTAGAGATATTTTTTTAGGTTCCCAGATGTTGACAAAGATAAGTTACTGTAAATATTTAATAAACTTTCAACATTTTTTATTTTTTTTACGACAGTTCATTTTATCTCCTCTAACCAGTGTTTTGGACATCTACAATAAAAGTTAGGTGAATAGATTCAAAGAGAATCCTTTGATAAGTATATGTGTCTTGAGTCATGTGTCTATGTGGCAGCTGGTAGCTGTGTTGGTCCGCATCGAAACATTAATTATGTTTACTAATCCATTCTATCGATACAAAATTAAAATATCTATTTCGATTGTCATTTTATTTTAATGTTTGATGCCTGTTAGAGTTAAGAAATAAAATAGTCAAATCATAAGAGTTGTTTTATTGGATAGTTAATATCAGTGTAAAAAACTGTATAAGTTAATCAGATGATGCTGCATCATATTTAACACAGATTTGCAAATTTTATCTGAAGTAAATTATGTTGTGACAGAATTTTTGATATTAACAAACATTGTATTTTCACCACAAATGTCGGTACAATACCTCATTGTGATAAAGCTTTTGATTTACATCCCTGGTAGCTAGGGGTGTTATATTAACAATCAGACGTTTAAATACTCACTAAATAGACTAATGAAGTCCCCATAAATTCCTATTTTTTTTTCCCATCAGTATTTTTCGGGTGAAAACCTCCTTTTAACCTCCAGGAGAACCAGGTTCAGTGTGAACAGCTTTCTGCCGAAGCCAGCTCTGCTTTTATTTAAGACGATTAAAGTAGACACACAAAATTAAAATAGAGGCATGGATCCATAAGGATTTAAGGCCAAATATAATCAATTATTATCAGCATAATATTGAAAAACTTCCCTCTTATACTTGCATAGTTTACCGTAACTATAGAGTAATTATTGGAGGGGGGGAGGGTTCTATTGTAATCTAGTTAAGCACATAAACATGCTTGATGTAGCAATAATACAATAACACAAGATCATTCTTTAACTTCACAGCATTCACCCAAAAGTTTACAATTCAGACAATGGTACACTTCCTAAGGAAAGTGTACCAGGCTGCTACAGGGTTACCTGTGGAGTACCACAGGGATCAATGCTAGGGCAAATTCTCTAATATACAGTCATATGAAAAAGTTTGGGCACCCCTATTATTCTTAATCATTTTTATTTCTAAATATTTGGGTGTTTGCAACAGCTATTTCAGTTTGATATATCTAATAACTGATGGACACTGATATATTTCAGTGCTGATCATTCAGCATGATGGAAACTCCGCCAAATTTTACAGTGGGTAGCAAGTGTTTTTCTTGGAACGCTGTGTTTTTTGCAACCATGCATAACGCCTTTTTTATTACCAAACAAGCCTAATTACTAACTTTATTAACAACCCAAGCTGGCTTGTCCAAATTTGTTTTTGCATACCTGAAGCTATTATGTTTGTGGCATGCTTTCAGAAAAAGGCTTCTGTCCCATACATCACTCTCCCATACAGCTTCTCCTGGTTCAAAGTGCTCTGAATTGTTCAATGATGCACAGTGACACCATCTGCAGCAAGATGATGCTGCAGGTCTTTGGAGGTGGTCTGTGGGTTGGAGGTGGTCCGTGGGTTAGAGGTGGTCTGTGGGTTGGAGGTGGTCCGTGGGTTAGAGGTGGTCTGCGGGTTGGAGGTGGTCTGTGGGTTGTCCTTGACCATTCTCACCATTCTTCTTCACTGCCTCTCTGATATTTTTCCTGGCCTGCCACTTCTGGGCTTAACAAGAACTGTCACTGTGGTCCATTTCCTTACTATGTTCCTCACAGTGGAAACTGACACTTTTTCAATCTCTGAGACAACTTTCTGTATCCTTCCCCTGAACAACTATGTTGAGCAAACTTTGTTTTCAGATCATTTGAGAGTTGTTTTGAGGAGCCCATGATAAATCTTCAGAGAACAGGAGAACAACTTGCAAATGGCCACCTTAATTACATTTTCTCATGATTAGATACAACTGGCTATGAAGTTAAAATCTTAATGAAGTCAACAAACCAATTTTGTGTTTCAGTAAGTTAGAGAAAAGTAGTTATGGGTATTCAAATCAATAAAATGATTGGGGTACACGTATTTTTGCATCCGCCAAGTTTTGTTTTAATGCATATTGCACATTTTCTGTTAGTCCAGTAAACCTCAATTCAATACTGAAATATTACTGTCTCCATCAGTTATTAGATATATCAAACTGATATATCTGTTGCAAACACCCAAATATTTAAAAATAAAAATAATTAGGATCAAATGGGATGCCCAAACTTTTTCATATGACTGTAAATATATGCTCCAATTGATAGAATTATTACTCAGCATGGGATGAATTTCCAGTTATGCTGATGATACTAAGCTAAGCTATAAATCCAGATGAATGTCACCAGTTAAATACAAGTAATGCTTCTTTTTTTGTTTGAGTCAATATCTGGCTCAAACCCTCATTTGGCCTCAGCAAAAGGCTGCTGGTTTTGGTTCTGTTGGAGGTTTCTTCCTGTTAAAAGGGAGGTGTACTCTCCACTGTCACTGCATGCATGCTCCAAATGAGGGATTGTTTCAATAACAGGAAACAATCATTTAGGTTTGCTAAGAAAACCAATCTGTTTGGATGATTGGACTAAATCATCTAAGTAAAGAGCCTTGAGATGACGTATTGTGAACTGAAGTTAAACAGTAAACTAAATTTAATTCAGGTAAACGGGTGGTCCAATTCAACTTTTGTCACTGTTCTGTTTCAATATCATTAGGTTTGCGCCAATGCCATCTTTTGGCCCCAATACCTGGCTGTGATTGATGTGTGTGTATATATGAAGAACTGCATACTACTTGGATATAAAATAATTGCCATCATGGTTTTGTCAAGCTACCTTTGTGAAGCAGGAAAAAAAAGAAACAAAGAGAATCCAGTAGAACTTTTTGTTGCCTACCTGGAATGAGTGACAACAGTAAAAGTAATGAAACTTTCGGCCCACAAAATGGTATCGGTGCCCTATTTGTTGGTACTCGCCGATACCGATACCACCATTTTAGTGCTGGATCGGGGCCCCGTCTGATTCTGGTATCGGTGCAACACTAATTATGATGTCGAGAAAAACAGTAAACTTTCTTTGAATAAATAATTTTTTTTATCAACTTTTCTATGACAAAGCTAACAGGAGATGTGAGAAGTGACAATGAGGAGGAAGAAGGACAAGAGACCAGCCCAACTGAGGATGACGATATTCCACAACACAAAGCCTTCAACGGACTGACAAGTGATGCAGCAAACGAGAAAAATGGCTGCTTTGGTTTGTCTCCACCAGGGAATGCTCTATCAAAGACAATGTCATGATTTTGGATGATTTTGGTTCAGTATAACAGTTAAGCATTAAAATGTGAGAAAGAGGGTTTTGCTGCAGGACAAAAAAAGATTTTAAATGTATATTTATCATTTTTACAGATGCTGAACCAAAACACGGATTAGTAAGATTAACTTTTCTATTCATTTTCCTCCTTATTTTTTATTTAGGTTCATACATTTCACAACTACACATATGACGTGCAGTGGACCTGGAACATTTATGTAGATCTGGTCTTTGGTGCTGACATACTGGTTTAGATGAAGCAGGGCCAGTTCCCCTTTTTATCATCCCAGTCGGTAGCCTATTACTACCATTTGTCTCTTCCTAATTGGGTACGCATGTTCTGAACCATTGCTGATTGGTTTATTTTTATGGGAGGTGAACATTTTTGTAACTTTTAAGCAATAACCTGAGGATGAGATGTCCAATAACTGTAGCTCTGAACCCTGGCTGAGCCAGTTGACTCTTGATGGTTAAAACAAAATGTTCTGAGACTCTGTTTCATACATATTAAACTAGTTAGCAAATATCTAAAACTTCAAATTTATGAAAGGGCTAAAATAAAACAATATATGGAAAGGTTGCTTCCACTAGAAGCTGACATTTTATAAGAAAAGAGGGGTTTTGTTGCACATTAATTTAAAGTTAATGTAATCTTTAAAACCTAAAAACCAAATTCCTGAATCATTATTGTCACATTTGTTTAGGTTACTCTCTGATCTGTGCTATTGTTTATTAAACCCAAGCAATACAGCTCTTATTAAAATTTATGCCATATTTTAATTTTTATTTCAGTTTAATTCCAACTTTTGGCCTAAAAATCTAGAATTGTGTCATTTTATAACCAGCTTAACTATTAAACACAGGAATCAGACATGACAGTAACAGCACATTTGCTTTAATTAGATATATTGTCAGAGAAATTGTCCAAGTGTAAGCCCAGTTCTTCCTACACACGGTAAAACAGCACCATCATGTGGACAAAATATATATTACATGAGAAAAACATTTTCAGAGCGTTTTATTACAAGAGAGGATAATATGAAGGGATTTTTTTCAGGCTTCATTATTGTTGCAAGCAAAGAAGGCATTTTGTAAACAAAAAAAAAAAAAAAAGAATAAATAAAAACATGTAAAAAATGTAAAGATAAATGACTCCAGAAATAAAACTGTAAAACTTTTTGTTCAAAAAAAGTTTTTTGAGAATAACATTACTGTTTTCTAAGCTTTTATCTTTTCTAAAACAAATATTTTTCTTTTATAAATTTAATTTTTACATGTTATTTGATCATTATCACAATTCTATTGCTCTCATTGGATTGTGGTTGTATAAGAAATTTTTAATGTTTCATTTCTGGAGTTTTTTTTTTCTTTTTCAAATCAACGTTTTCTTTGCTTATAACAATAATGTAACATAATTCAGTCCATACAATGAAGTAAAGATAATTTTAGGAGAGAAACACATCAAAAATATGTTAGTGTTTGGAAAAAAAGACAAAAAAAACAAAAAGAGGATGTGAATAAAACCTTTGCATCCGATGACTCACTCTTTGTCAACAATATTACTGATCTTTTTGTCTTGTGACGCTCCTGGAGGGTCCTGACCCGTGCTTTGGGAACCCTTGGTTAAGATTTTCTCAGATTTACAAGCAAAAACTTTGAAATTGAGCTAAACAAGCCTTCCAGTCTCTATTAAATCATCTGATAACTTCCACTTTGTTCTATGTTTCTCTGTGATAGAAATTCTATTTTGAGCTACTCTCAGGCTTATTGGAGGATTAAGACCATTTTTAAATGAAGGGCTGCTATATTACTTTAGATTATTCAATTAAATACGAAACTTTAACAATGATGTATGTATGTGGGAGTGTATTTCTGACATCGTGGGGACCATTTTCCTTAAATCACAGCACACTGAGGGGACCCAGTGCTCTAGTGGGGACCAATGGCTGGTCCCCATGGGTACAAATGCTGTTTAGGCTTAGGTGTTAGGTTTAGGACTAAGGTGAGAGTAGAGTTTAGGTTAGGATCAGGGTTAGGTATGAACTTGTAATGGTTAGGTTTAGGGTAAGGGTCATGGTTAGGCTGTAGGACTCACCAACAAATGAATGGAAGTCAATAGGAAGTCCCCACGGGAACAGTAAACCAGACATGTATGTGAGTGTTGACATGAACAAACGCCACCTTACAGATCATTTCTGTATGCGTTTGAACCTGATCAGGGAGTTTGGATGTTAGTGCAAAGAAAGCTTCATTTATTGACTGGAAACAGTGAAGTTCATCTCAAAATGTTTAACAAACGATATTTTATAGTTAACAACTTTTTTCTGCACAATTTTGTAAAATATAAAATTAATTTCTAAAATTGTTTTCCGTGTGTGTGTTTTTTTTTCCTTCAGTGCTCTTTTATTTCCATAAAATAATAAAGCTTGCTTGCATGTTTTTCTTAGGATTTCTGCTGAATGTTTCAGTAGAACACCTTAGATATAAGAAAATATTAATATCCGTTTAAGCTGATGCTATTACTGTAAAGTAGAGATGGGGAAAAAATCTATTTGTAAGGCTAAGAGTTAATTATTTGGTACATGGATTAAAAGGATTAGTAAACATTACTAAATACATAATAAGACTATGTTCTGCTTTGTAATATGTGTTTGAAATGTCAAAAAACTGAAAGATTTTCTCTAAACATAACATACAAGGGAATTTCAAACCCTACAACATGTTCAGACATAACTGAGGCCGGCAGGTTTACTAAAAACTAAGATTGTTAACTATGAAATCAGGGAAACCCTGAGTTTTCTGTTTCACAAAAATAGTTCACTAAACCCAGAGCTAACCTGGTCGGGAGCAGATTTACATCAACAAACTCCTCTGTTTGTCTACGCTCTTCTTAAAGCCAATCATGTCGTCTTATTTCCTGATTTAGTCAGAAAAGTTTTGTCATAGTTTTGTTCAAATAAAAATAAAATCAATCACAAGGTCTGTTAGAGACATTAGGAGTAAAAACACAATTAAAGAATGAACGGCATTAATTCACAGAGAAATAGATGCGTATAGAATTTATCTTTACCCAACTGTTTCCTTACAATCCATCATAGACATTCAGAACTTATTCATCTTCACATTATCTGCATTACAGACTTCATTTATAGACTTAAAAGAACCTGGTGTCAGTGAGAGAACACTGATGTGTGATAACAGCATTACAGAAAACAACTGCACAGTCAGACAGCCGCTCAGTATTTACTGTAATCGAAGACAGGGTTAAAATGAGGAGGAACCCCATAAGATGATGCACAAGTCCCACCTGTTAGAACAATGTTTTTACAGTTTATCTTCACCTGCTGACAGGTGATTGCACCTAAATAGATACAATGATCTTCTACATTCAACTTGTAAACTAGCTTTTCACCTTAGTGTCATCGTGTTTATTGTTTATGACTAACCTTAGTCTGTGGCAGGCCTTTATGATATGTATTAGTTTGACTGATATGTATTTCTGATATATGAAATATATTTTTTTCTTATCAAAATGAATATTTCAAACAAAATTATATTCTTAATATCTAAAACAAACCACCTGGATGCCTAGTAATGACTTTCAGATCTCCAAATTCCTATTGTTACTGGTCAGAAATACTATTATTTTAAATAGGAAGAAATGTATTTCAGATATAAATATTCAGTCAACAGATAAATGTGTAAACTTTATTCTAGCTAGTACAATTTTGCTTTTTGACATTTTGAAATTCAATTTCTGCTTCACAATTGTAATGTTGGAAATCTAGTATTACAGTTCTGACTAGGAAAGTGAGTTTGACCAGGATGAATCATAGTTTAGTGATCTACGAATGTAACAACAGAAAGGTGCGTTTAATAAACGTCCAAACGGGTTGCTATACAGGCCTACATACAGTGAGGAAAATAAATATTTGAACAGCCTGCTATTTTGCAAGTTTTCCCACTTATAAATCATGGAGAAATTGAAACTGTCATTGTAGGTGCATGTCCACTGTGAGAGACATAATCTAGAAAAACAAAAAAATCCAGAAATCACAATGTATGATTTTTTAAAACTATTTATTGGTATGATACAACTGCAAAGAAGTGTTTGAACACCTGAGAAAATCCATGTTAATATTTGGTACAGTAGCATTTGTTTGCAATTCCAGAGGTCTAACAATTCCTATAGTTTTTCATCAAGTTTGCACACACTGCAGGAGGGATTTTGGCCCATTCCTCCACACAGATCTACTCTAGATCAGATAGGTTTCTGGGCTGTTGCTGAGAAACATGGAGTGTAGGCTTTAAGCAACATTATCTGGGTGGGCCCCATATAAAGTACAACACGCGAAAAAGGTTCAGGATACGGCGACAGTTCCATAAATCGGCCAAAAAGAAACAATTATGCAATTCTCAGTAGTATATGATCACACATCACACACGGAAAAATAGTGACTGTGCACCTTGAATGGAACCATTGGTGACAGCGCAACCACCACATGTTAGCACAAGAAGCCATCGGGCTACCTTCAGCTTCACAGCCCCCCTCCTCACCCACGCTCTCTCCATTCACCTCCTGGTCGCCATCTTTACTCACTGTAGCAGCAACGTTCACCTCTCCCTCTTCGGTTCTTTGAAATAACGTGTTTATTTTGGGATTTTTTTTTCCATTCTTCCAGCAGCTCTTCTTTGCTTTTTCTTTTCTGGAATCTGCTTAAGTACCTCATTTTGGTATCCATCGTCGCTAACACATTGTGCCTAACAGTAATTGTTTTTATCTACGCTCTGGATTACCCATAATTCCAAGTCGTAGTGTAAAAAATAACATATTCAAATACCTCTTTTAAGATCTTTATTGCGGTTTGAAACATATTATATGAGTGTATTTATTACCAACTGTCTCACCATCATGTTGAT